GATTTTACCTCCTTGCAAGATCGATGATTTAGCCTGCTGCTGTCCACATGTACTGGTTAGAGAGACCAGTGTCCTAGGAGAGACAGAAAGGACATTCTACTACTCACAGCAGCAACCAGCGTACTGTCACTTTTACATGGTGGCTCCTTGGGGCCATGTGACCCTTCACACACACAGGGTGAGGAGGTAATAAGCTCTCAGTCTTTTATTATGGACTGTAAGCAAACCTGTGCCCTTTGCCCGGGAGATGACATTGTTGTTATTAAATAGGACAGCAAGCAAACCAAGTCTTTGACCAAGCGCAGTGGTTCTCAACCTTCCTAATGTTGTGACCCCTTATTTAATACAATTGTTTATGTTGTGGTGACACCCCCCAGTCATAAAATTATTTCTTTATTACTTCATAACTGTAATTTTGCTAGTTATGAATCACAATGTAAACATATGATGTGCAGGCTATCTAACATGTGACCCTCATGAAAAGGTCATTCAGCCCCCAAGGGGGTCGAGACCCACAGGTTGAGATCTGCTTCTCTAGAAAGAGACCTACTGTCTTCCTAAGACGTCTCTGTTGCACACACATCCGTGGAAGACAGTGGTGAGCTAAGATAGCCAGCCCCTCTGCGCATGTGTGCAGAAAAGTCTGAGGCCTTAAAGCCACCACTTCTGACTCCCTCCCAGCTTTCCGACTTGAAGCCTCCATTGTCGCCAGAACGAGGCAGTTATTTCTCTCAACCTTTTGCACACCCAGACTTCACACCACGAGATACACAGGCGAGGAAGGAGCAAGAGAAGGTGTGAACAGCGTTGGTCCTTTATTTTCCTGCTTGGACTGACAACTTCCTCTAGTTCGTTCTTTTCCTTCACATCAATGAAACAGCTGCCACTCCAAATGACACTGATCTTTAATTTCTACTCGGGCAGGCATTGGGTAAAAGCCTGGTGGATGTTATATGGAAGGTAGACGTTCTAGGTGCCAAGGAACAAAAATTATTAAAACTCAGGAGAGAAGCTGCGCACAGGGGCACATGCTTGTGGTCCCAGCTACCTGGACGCAGAGGCAGGCTGAAGTTCAAGGTCAGCCCGGGCAAGTCATCACAACCCATCCAACCCCCAAAGTAGGAAATCATGACCTATTGAGTGAGAAGGGTCAAGGGTCAAGGTGGAGGTCATGCTCTCCATCCCCAGTGCTGGCACTAATTACAGCTCCGACTCAAACAAAAGAGAGGAAGAGCTAGAAACGCGTGTTAAGAGGGGGAGACAGTGATCCAGGGAAAGGAGGTCACTGTTTATATTAAGGAGATACTAAGATGGGCACGTTGGGTGACCTGGGCATTTTATGAGTCTAAAAGCAGCCTGCTCAAGAAGTCCTCCTGGTAGTTCTTGAAATGTGGTCCCTAGATTAACATCATTTCCAGCAGGAAACTCATTTGTTGTTCAAATGATGCATAGAATAAGGATGCACAGACTCCGCCATTTTAGAATAAGGATGCATAGACTCCGCCGGCCCACCAATGCAGTGAGGGGCCTTCCAGGAAGGTCTCTGCAGTGCACTGACATTTGACAGGCTTAGGCAGGTGTCCCTCAAAACTGAGCAAACACTCTCATCCCTGGGGAGGTTGTCAAACTACACAGTCTAGATAATCAGGAAGGGGGTGCAGCCCCCACATCTCTTCCAGGTTTCCAAGCGAGGCCAGTGTTGTAACTTCTTTGGACATTTTGAGTCATTTGGTGGTGGGGGAAGGCTGAATGAGCCTCCCGTGAGAGGGGCTGTGGGAGGAAGTTTTAAGGAAATGCATAGAGCTCAGCGACATCATTCAGTTGTCTCTGGTACTTGAAGGACACAAGTAAGAAGAGCGTGATTTCTGGGGCTGGCCTGTGGCCTGCTCTTCTGGACGTGTCCACTCAGACGTCCTTGCCTGTCTATAACACGGCTGCTGAAGGCTCCAAGTGCCAACCGTGGCTCCTGGTGCTTTGTGGTACATTCTTCTTCCTGGATGGAGAAGCTGAGGCTGGTCCACAGAGCTATTTGTGTCCCAAGGTCACAGGGACCTCAGACAGATTGGTCTGGCAAAGGTCTCTTGAAGCCTGGCCAGAACTTTTTCCTCGGGGGGCCCCCAAGGCCGTCTTCCTCAACAGTGGGCAGTGACAGAGCTTGTAAGATTAGCACCCCGGTGCCTCCCTTGTAAAAACAGGACCTGCTCAATCTCCAGGCCCAGCGGTGAATAATAGGAATCTTTATCATCCTTTCCAACAGAGAGCACTTATTTAAAACCCTTGGCTAACTCACGAGGTGAGCTGGCCTGTTACACACCATCACATGGCATGGAAACTGGCAATTAAATTTAGCAACCCACCTCGGTAAACTCAGACCAGGATGTTTACGGGCCAGCACAGCCCAGGAGGAGCCAGGGGGCTTTGTTTCCAACCCAATAGGTCTCCAGAAAAAGAGTGAAGGGGGGCTCCAGAGAGTTAGGCCGAGTGACGAGCATCTGTCCCCATCAGTAATGTGGCATCCTCTGGCTGCGGAAGGCCAAGCATTCCCCTGCTGTAACACAGCCCAGGGGACGACTGTTGGCTTTGTGGAGCCGCTGCTCAGGAATGGGGAGGCAATGGCTCCAAGGACAAGCTGTCTGTTTACTGGTTTACTGACTCTGGGGACCAGAACCAGAGAGACTACATGAACCAAAGAGTCATTTTCCCTCAACGAAAGACATTGTACTTTCAACGCTCACCTATAGCCATACGGGTGAGGTGATGGTGGAGGCTCAGCTAGGCAGTAAACAAGGCTCTGGGCATCTGAGGTGTAAGGACTGCTAGTTAGAATGATGGCCAGAGGGGCAGGAAAGATGCTGTCTGCCTTTTCTGTTATAGAAATATATAAAGAAGATATCTCCTGTGACCCTTTTGGGATTAAAAACTTAGGCAAGAGTACAGTTGCATGCATTTTCAGAATCTGCCTGCATGAGCTGGGATGCTCCAGCAAGAGAGGAGTTTCTTGTTTTAGCCAAACACAGTCTGAGTTCCTGCCCCACAAGTGCGTTAGTGGGATGGGGAGGGAAGAGAGCAAGTTTTGCTCCAGCGAGACTTTGGCCACATCTTCCCCAGCCCTGGATGTGCCTGGTACAGGATATCTGTCCATTTGCATAAGGGCTCAGGAATTCTGTTGTGGGTGGGAAGGAGAGGGCGCCACTCTCAGCAAGCAGGCTACTCAGAAGAACTCAGGTCAGCAAGTCCAGTGTCCACACCATGTCTTCCTCTATCTTGTATAACAGCCTCCCAGAAAAAGGAACAGAACCCGAAGTGTCAGCCCTGAGGGAGGAAAAGGGTGGAGAATGGGTGGTCCTCCTGCTTGGGAGGGAAGAGGAGTGGCTTTTCTCACTTCTGAAAGCTCAACCTCATGCATTTCCAGGGTTAGGAGATGGCGAGAGAAGGTCACCAGGCCCTTTCTGAGATGGTGAACCTCAGCTGGCAAGGCTGGACTCCTAACATACCTCCCTTCAGGGCAGCGAGTTAGCATCGCCCATGCCAACCATGGGTCCCTTCTTTATCTCTGACTCCTTTCCCTCCATTTCTTCGTATTAACCCCTTTTTAGACATAACAATGCTATCAGGGATATCCCTTGACTGAACTATGACTCTTAAGTCAGATGCCATTTTGAGGTACTGTGCTGGTCCTTGTTTGCTTTCACAACTCTGTTCCCTCTCTATGAGACAGTAATAATGGCCCCTCCCTTTCTTGATGACCAAACTAGATCAGAGCAGCCATGCGACTTTATGTTCATTGTTCCCCTGCCTCTTGTGGCTCTTTTCTGTCACATCTGCCTCATCCAGTAAAGCAGGTTGTATGGAGGATTTATGATTGGCTCAGGCCATGCAAGGTTAGATGCTTCAGCTGGATTTAAACAAAGGACAGTTTCATTTCTAATCTATGGACCCAAGTAACCTTAGGCCTCTGACCCTGGGAGCATAGCTCTTTCCCCACAGAGGTTATAAAAGCCCTAGCCTTTTCCCAAGCCCAGTGTGTGTGTGTGTGTGTGTGTGTGTGTGTGTGTGTGTGCGTGCGTGTGTGGTCTCTCAATTATCTGTGTTTACTATGTTTGGCCTATACCTAATGTGTAGCACCTTCTTCCTAGATTAAAGCCTTCTATCTTGGAAGGAAACTTTAAAACAGGATGTTTACATGGAGGTGAAATACTACAGGGTCCTCTTTAAGACAGGAAGTAAACAACTCAAAATAGCTTTAGGAAGTCCCTGAAACTGTACAAGATTCACCAGACCCCTCCCTCCCCAACTGTAGATAAACAGTAAGGACTATGGAGAGTCACTCTCAGATAAACCAAGAGTAGGGCAGCTTGGGAGAAGTAGAGACCAGCTGAGCTACCTGGAGGAGGCTCAAACCAACTGAGCCATCTAGAAGGGACACTCCCCAGCCTGTTGAGCTGCCTGCAGGCTATGCAATGTGCTTTAGATCTCCCGCTTTTGTGGAGTGTCACCTCTGCTAGGGGTGGGCTTTGGTGATGGAGCTGACTTTGAGTCATTTCCACTCCCATAAGTAATCCCTCACTTACTGTCTTAGGGTTTTTATTGCTGTGAAGAGACACCATAACCATGGCAACTCTTATAAAGGAAAACATTTAATTGGGATTGGCTTATAGTCTTGCATTATGGACCTGGCAGAAAGCATGGCAGCATGCAGGTAGATGTGGTGCTAGAGAAGGAGTTGAGAGTTCTACATCTAGATTGGCAGGCAGCAGGAAGTGAACTGGCTTGAGCTTCTGAGGCCTAGTGACACACCTCGATCAACAAAGCCAAACCTACTCCCATGAGGACACACCTCCTAATAATGCCACTCCCCATGGGCCAATGGGGCCATTTTTTTTAAAAAAAAAGATTTATTTATTTATTATGTATACAACATTTCTTCCATGTGTGCCTGCAGGCCAGAAGGGTGCACCAAATCTCATTACAGATGGTTGTGAGCCACCATGTGGTTACTGGGAATTGAACTCAGGACCTCTGGAAGAGCAGCCAGTGCTCTTAACCACTAATCCATCTCTCCAGCCCATTTTTTTATTCAAACCACCATACCTATATTCCTATCAATAACTCCAGTAAAGCTCATTGGTTTACCAAGTTGGACTTTGGGGTGTCCATACTTCATTCCATTGTCAGTTCTCTCTCTGGGGTGAGTGGATGTTTGCTCATGCCTCCCCAGAAAAGGTTTATCACACAACAGTATCTCGTGCACATCCAGTGTGCCCATATTTGCAGAGCAGGGAGTCTCCAGGTGGGTGGTCCTGGTAAAGGGGAACCAGGGATGCCAACTACTTCAGAAGTTCACAGGTTGATAGTGGAACACACGGAAGCTTCCTGGAATAATTGAAATATCAGGACTAAATCCTGGGAGCCCGATGTACTTGGGGCATAGAGAGCAGACGTGCCAGGACAGGTCGAACATGGCAGAGATGCTCCCCCAGAGCTGGCGCTGTTATCAGATTTAGAGGTCACCACCTGTACCCCAAGTTAGGTCTGGTCGCTCATTTTCAATAAGCCTAAGCCAATTGAAAGAGCCAAATTAATAGTGGGAAAGCAGAAAAAGGCTATTTATTCAGCATGGCCACATTGGGAAGAGGGAAGAAGAGATACAGTGAACTCCTCATCCTTAAACCTGTCTCCAGGGTCCTGAAGTGAGGCCGAAGTATAAAGAGAGGGCCAATGATGTACACATTCCCATAGTCCTGGTCAAGGTGTGACCCCGCCCACCACTGACCCATCACTGTCTGGGCTTCAGTTCTAGTCTGTGATATGGTCTGGCAAGTTATTAGGGCTGCATGAACTCTCTTAGCCAAGCTCCCCTTCTTGCTTGGTGCTCTTTGCTTTACCCATCATGAGACTCCTGGGGAAATCCCCCATTTGTAGGGCCCATTGTTTCAGTGGTCTGATAGTCAGATTGAGAGAGGGGACTGGAAAGCATTTAAGAATGTCTTCATTTCTGGCCAGGCCAGTCACAGGGCCACGAGAGCAGCTCCCACCCTGGACTGTGGGACCCTTTGTCTGCATACCTGGGGTACCCCGGATAGCTGATACTTGCCTCTTGCAAATAGAATTTCCCAGGCATCCTTGCCTCTGACTTCTGGCTGGTTCAGCCTGGAGTCAGTGAGGGTGGATAAACAGAGCTGCAGAGGCCAAAGGGAAGTCAGGTGTGTCTCTGTCCCCCGACTCCTCCCTGTCTCTCTGTGGTTGAAAGGGCCACTTTGAATCTGGGGACAGATAAAGTTCCTTTTCTCAGCCTGGGGCTGAGTGTGGGAAACTCTGCTACTTCTGTTGGTCCATCTCTCACTTCCACGGGGCCTTTGGTTCTTCCAGCATCGTGGTCACTGTCCCTGTGACCCACCCCTCTGATAAGGAGGCTGGGCCTGCCTGTCTTCTTAATTGGTCTGTGGGTATATGCAAGGAATCTGGAGACCCTGGAACATGGGGCATGTGTGAGCAGTGAACAGATTTCATTGTGGGGATGGAACTTTACCCACACCTGTGACTGTACCTCCTCGTCGGGCCAGAGCTCTTGGCACTGGGAGATCATCCCAGGCCACATTTTATTGGAAGGGAGGAACTTCAATAAACCGTGGAAGCCACAAAATTGATCCAAATCAATTAGCTGAGCAAGAAAAGCATTTCCTTTGCCTAAAAAGAAAAAAAAATGAGGGAGAGAGAGAGAGAGAGAGAGAGAGAGAGAGAGAGAGAGAAGGCAAAACTTGAAGGCGACGATTCCATTCCCTTTTATCCATTGCCTGGGATCCTCATGAGAGACACAAGGGGTCCAGCTCAAACACCTAGCCCTGACTCCTGACTTCTCATTTAGGAGCCCGGCACTTGTGACCACCAGGCTCACAGTCTACTTGGGCAGCACTTCTGGTACCCGCAGCCTTGTCCATGGGAGACTTGGGTTGTACCTCTGTGCCCAGTGCTCACCAGTCTCCACCGACAGCAGCTTAGATCCACTTACCATTCATAGGCCCTGACCACACCCACTCTCTTCCAAGGTTAAGAAGTCTTTGCCCTGGAGTTATTTGGTTCCCAAAAAAAAACATGAACATTTGGTGATGTCCACCTTTTGGCTGCTGAGAGCGGGGCTTCTATGACCACGGACAGGTAAATATCTCTTTGCATTTCTTCTTTCAATTCCTTTAGATGTATACCCAAAAGTAGAATTAAGGGGTCATATGATAATTCTTCTATTTTATTTACTTTTTATGTATATGTGTTATAGGCTTTCTTAGAGCATCAGCCTCCAAATCATCACACAGAGACTTATTAATTACAAACTCTCAGCCTTAGCTTAGGCTTGTTTCTAACTAGCTCTTATAATTTAAATAAACCCATTTCTATTCATCCTTGTGCTGCTATGTGACTTGTGGCTTTTACCTCTCCTCCTGCATATCCTACTTCATCTCTGCCTCCTCTGGCATTTCCTCCAAGCATAGATTTATCTCCTCTTCCTCTCTCTCTGCCTGGAAGTCCCGCCTAACCTCTTCCTGCCTTGCTATTGGCCATTCAGCTCTTTATTAAACCAATCAGAAGGCGTCTTGGCAAAGACACATCTTCATAGTGTACAAAAGGTTATTCCACAACAAATATGGATGTTTTGACTACATATATGTCTATGCACCATGTGTTTGTCATGCCCATGGTGGGCACAGATGGAGTGGGATCCCTTTGAACTAGAGTTAGAAACAGATGTGAGTTACTAAGTATGTGCCAGGAATTGAACTCTGGTCTCCTCTTTCCAGTTAATGTTTTGAAGACACTCCATACTGTTTCCCACAAGCGTCTACATCACTTAGTTTCCCACTAATGGTGTATAGAGAGAGCATCAAGCTTCCAGAGATCCTTGACACTGTGGCTGCTTTTCTTTTTCTTCCTTTCTCCTCTCCTTTATCCCTCCTTTCCTCACTCCCTTTCTTCTTCCATTCTCTCTCTCTCTCTCTCTCTCTCTCTCTCTCTCTCTCTCTCTCTCTCCAGGATCTCATGTAGCCCAGGCTCACAGCTGATACTGATCCTTAACTCCAGATCCTCTTACCTCTACCTCCCAAGTGCTGTGATTACAGGCCTGTGGCACCAGGTTCAGATCCTCCGACCTCCTGCCGTCCTGAAGCGAGTGAAACAACCATTAACCTTTTGCTTTACTGTTAAAATGTGTTTTATACGTGGAGTGAGCATTCCATCATGCTTAAGAAGTGCACCAGGAAACCTCAGTTTCCTTCTCCTTTCATCCCAGTTCCCATTTCTTGCACTGCAGACAGAAGTGACCTCAACGCTGCTTCCTGAGGCAGCCTACACGCAAAGGCGTTTCCATGTCTGTATATACATCTTCGAGTGGGCCTTTGGGGGCTGTGCTCAGCCCCTAGCTCCTGTCTCTCCATTTCCTGATCTACTGTGATGTGAGCAGTCTGCACCACATTTGCTATTCCGTCATCTCTTCCCACCATGATGGGTGGAAACACTGAGCCAAAATCCATCTTCCCTCCCTCAAGTTTCAGTCAACTATTGCCACAACAATGTAACCGTAATTGATACAGCCAGCAAGAGTTCAGCTCTCAGAGGCTTCCAAAGACATTAGGTCTGTAATATTTAGAGCATGAAGCCCTTGGATGGAGCCTTCTACATCTTTACTTATTCATTTTTAAATATAAATATACTGTAACCTTATAGAAGTATATTAAGTCGTATAGTCGTTGGATTTGATGAATTCATATGTTTTTAAGGTGCAGCTTTTGTTTAAAACAAATAATAATGATTTTTAAAATAAATGAAGGTACTTTTAAAGCTTTCTTTTTGTTGTTTGTTTATGTGTATGTGTGTGCTGTGTGAGTGTGTGTGAGTGTGTATGTATGACACATGTATGCAGGTACCTTTGGAAGAAGTCAGTTCCCACAGCTGGACTTACAGGCACTTGTGAGTCACCTTGCTTGGGTGCTGGGAACAGAACTAGTGTTCTCTGAAAGAGCCACAAGTACTGCTAATCACTGTCTCATCTCCTCAGCCACCTGACAGAAGTCAGCACATGGTGAGGGGATGGGTCTCTCTTCCTCTTCTTCAAAGCCACTAATGTCACCTTGGGATTACGACTTTCTTGATTTTACTTAACCACCTTCTAGTGTCTTCACCTCCAGACACTATGAACTTCTGAAACTGAGGGCCGAGTTTCCAGCCCGTGAACTTTTGGGAAGTACATTCAACCGTAGCAGGACCGAGTCTCATACAATAGGGAGGAACTTTTTGACTGTTCAGTCAATATTGATGGGTAGATGACCCAGATTTGACATTTTGTAAGGATCTATGGCTGTCCTAGGAGGGGAAAGGCAACAAAGTCAAGAAGAATCTCAAAGTTCAAGACCTTGATCTCACAGGGCATTCCTCATTTCAGTTGATGGCACAGATTAGCCGTTGGGTTGCTACATTTAATTAGAAAGTAAATGCTAGAAACTGCTGTTTTGTGTGTGTGTGTGTGTGTGTGTGTCTGTCTGTCTGTCTGTCTGTCTTTGTGCCTCTGTGTGTGTATATGTGTCTCTGTATGACTGTGTATGTGTCTGTGTGTGTGTCTCTGTGTGTCTGTGTGTGTCTGTGTGTGTGTCTTCGTGTGTGTGTCTCTGTGTGTATGTGTCTCTATAAGTATATGTGTATGTCTCTGTATATATGTATCAATGTATGTCTCTGTGTGTGTGTCTCTGTGTGTATGTGTCCCTCTGTGTGTATGTGTTTCTGTATGTATATGTGTGTATATATGTGTCTCTGTGTATATGTCTGTGGTGTGTGTGTGTGTGTGTGTGTGTGTGTGCATATGCATACCTGAATGCCGAGCTGACCAGGGAGTCATAATCTTTTCTCAGTATGGACCGCCTCAGCAAAACACCTGTTTAAAGAAGCCATGGCTGTGCTAAACTCCAACCTAACCAGATTTCAGGAAGAAAAGAAGTCTGCAGGCTGTTTCCCGCTCTGTATGTGACAGCGAGGAGAGCAGGTGACAGACAGGAGCTGGACCTGGCTCTGTGAGTGCTCTTTTGACTTGAGGCCGCCATCATCACGGCTGCCCCGACCCAGGGGGTCCTGCAGGTAGCTGTTAGCCACCATCTCTAGTTAAGGTTGTCATTTTATCCTATGCTTTCCACCATGGAAATGGGAGCCTTGAGAGACCTAAGGATAGGATACACAAACAGGGCCCGCTTGGCCCCGAGGAAGAGGACTGTTTGTGACCTGGCAGGCCATCAAGGCATGCCTGACTCACAAAGTCTGGGCGTGAGTGATTCAAGCTAGCTGCCCACTGTGTTTGGATGCCCAGGATGGTACCAAGTCGCTCCTGCCCTCCCACAGTAGCCTGGTGCTGGCCTTGGGCTGCTTCTTTCTCATGTAGTGTCCTGGGTACCAGGCAGGAGGACACTGGCTGGAGCAGCTTCACAAGGTGTGCCCAGTGTCTGCTATCTGCAGGGTGTCAGTCCATATCATCAAAGATCATCCTAGTGACCCTGAAAGTGTCCCATGCAATACAGTTCCACCTTTGCCGGTGTCCATATCTGTGCGCAGCACCCACATCCTGACCCTTCTGGAAGCTTCTCTGCACGAGTGGGAAACACATAATCCAGGTGGAAGAGGAAAAACAGCTGTGGTATCAACGCTCAGTTCTCTTTCTGTTTCCCGAGCTTGCGTGAGTTACCAAAAGCATCCGGAGTCTTTCTAACAATGACAGAGAGTGGGCTGGACATAGCCACCTCCACTGTGCCTGGTGACCCGCTGTTTTAGACGTGGGGTACTGCAAAAAAGGGCTCGATCCACTGAGTCCCAAACCAGTGCAGACTCAGCAGAAGTGCTTGGGAAGTTAAAGCTGGGTGTTTGGGGTTTGCTGGGGTGGGGTGAGGGCGGGGAGAGAAAAGGGTAAGTTCTAGAATTTCCTAAGATGCTGACTCAGCTCCCAGTCTGTCCGGGATGCAGCCTGCGGAGAAGGCTGGGTGATGAAGGAGGCCATCTGGCTGTCAGGCATGAGGTGGCCTTGGGCCTGCCTGCTGGCCAGCCTTGAGGGACGAGGAGGGCGAAAAGGAGGAGGAGGAATGGGAGGCTGCAGAGCCATTGGCCAGTGAAGTCCATGTGGGTGGAAAGGGGGGTCTGGGATTGAACTTGTCTGTCACTGTGAGAGCAGGGCTTGGGCAAACAGGTTCTTCCATAATGTCTGAGCTCCCTTTGAATATTGGACTGTGTAGTGTGGTTTCTAGGTGAACAGCCAGCCGGCCTTGCTCCTTCTTTAGATATATTTTTAAGCTCTCAGAACACTGGCATTCTGTACCCATGTGGACGTCCTGTCTGCGTGGGAGCCTGGGCTCCTCTGTGCTTCCCCACAAGGTCACTCCAGGCTGGTGGTTTGTGCAATCCTGAAGTTTGACTGTGGGACAAAAGTCACAAGTCCTCTGCTAGCTCTCACGGTACCTGCTCTGAAAAGTCCCGAGCTTGTGGCGGCTGGCGCCACCCTGTCCTGTCCTCGGCTGTCAGCTCAGTGTGGGGGACAGACTCCCAGTACTGTCTGTCATCTGGCCAGGCTGTGACCACAGTTGTGGTCCTGGGGGATCCTGAGGCGGGAACCTGTACAGGGCAGCACGAAGCATCAGATCAGGCATCCCTGAAGGCAGGCCTCCTGACAGGGGCCGTGAGTGCACGCTCACTTACATAACACTTCCTGAGTATGCTTCCTCCGTCTCAGCAATGGTTGGGTCAGCAAGTGACCTTTAAAACCACTCAGGAGAAGCCACTTCTGGAGTCTGGGCCGTCCAGGAGCCACTCCTTCCTGCCATTCTCCCTCCTGCCTAGCCAACTGTGTCCTCAAGGGCTGGGAAGTAAAACATTTAAAGTTTTAGGCCAAACATGGTGATCCCCACCTACAATCCCAGCATCAGGAGACAGGGAGAAGGCCTCGGCATTCAAAGCCAGCCTAGGCTACATAGGAAACCTTTCGAAAAAGCAGTGTGTGTGTGTGTGTGTGTGTGTGTGTGTGTGTGTGTGTACATGTGCACACACTTGGATGTGCATTTGTATGCTTGTACATATGAAGTCCAGAGGACAACCTCAGTTGTCATGTCTTATGCCTCAAGAGTCATTTACTCTTTTATTTTTTTTATTTTTATTTTTATTTTTTGCCCCATTTATATAGCTATGGGGAATTTCTCACCCATCCTGAGGTGAGACTTTCTAATGGTTACGGGTGCTCCAGAGAAGTCCTGTGTGAAACCTCTCACCCACGCTCCTATAAGCAAGCCCAATAAACGGATTCATTCACCAAGCTAGACTCATGTGGAATAGTCACTTGGCCTGTGGTTGCTGCCCTAACTGCAGTGAGCAGACGTTGGTTCACATCTCCCCAGGGGAAGTTAGCGCAACAACTGGACACAGAAGGCAGGGTGGGGAAGGAATGCCAGTGCTCCTGTCTCTGGTACCCAGGGACGTGCACAGGTGCTGCACACATCCTGTGGTCCCTTTCAGCCACCTTTGGATGACTTAAAACACCGACTGGGATGACGAGGGAAGACATCTCCACTAACTCGGGGCAGCTGGGCTTTGTCTCGGAACAGCTGTGCACCATACCAGGATGGGTGCCTGGGTACAGAAGATTAGGCACACACTCAGGCATGAGGACAAATCCTAGGATTCCAGCCTTGCCTCACCCCCAGGCCTCCTGGAGGCGGGGGCACGTCCCTTAAAGACTGGGGAAGGACTATTGGTGGAGAGCGTCCAGAAAAAGGGCAAAGCCAGAGCCCAGCTCTGGAGGCTGGAGCAGTACCATGTGGACGGAGCGAGGATGAAGAAGGGACAAAGAAGATAAGGAGGGGGCATCCAGCGGACCAGATCCTGACTGGTGGGGGTGGGGGTGGGGGGAGTTTGGCCTTTTGCTGTGAGGGGCAGAGAAGTCATTTCAGAGTCTGAAGCAGGCAAGGAGGGGGGAAAACAAGGAAGGAGGAGCAGGGAAGCAGTCCGGGCAGAGGAATGTCATCTTTGCAGATCGGCCTGGTTGTGGTCTGCTCTGCATTGGGCAGATACGCTCGGGGGCGGGTGCATCAACCAGGGCTCTCAGGGGCAGATGCCTGTCAGGGACTTACAGGTGATCTGGCTGTGGCTAGAAGTCCTTGGCCAGGCTGTCTGCAAGATGT